AGGGAAATCGAGAGGCCCCAACCAGGAAGGGTCGGCAGGGCGACGGTGATCGTTGTCGAGCAACATGTACCACTCTACCGGATAGTCGAGGACTTGAGGGTACTTTGTGGTAAGCAAGACCTTGGAGGAGTGGCTGTTTGTGGAGAGGTGCAAGGACCGGAATTCGGGGCTGCCGACGATGGTCTTCCACGATTTGCATACGGTCCGAAGACGGAGCAGAGGCTTTGCGGGCAGTCTCGCCAGGATTTGAACCAACACATCTTCACTCAGGTAAGGAAGAGAGGCTTCCATAACTTTTATTATTATTATTATAAGGGTAAATTACACTTTTGGTACCCAAACTAAAGTTCATTTCGGAACCAGTACCCACTTTTTAATAGTTGCAAAAATGAATACCCAAACTTTTATTCCGTTTGCGATGTTAGTACCCGGCGTTAGTTGTCCGTCAAAAGGCCGTTAGTCGTTAACGATTTTGACTAACATCGCAGTTAGGGTTTGAATGCCTTCATTTTTTCCCCAATTTCTCGCGTTCCTGAAAAAAAAAACCCTAACTTTTCAATTTTTTCCAATTCATTCATCAGAATGATGATCGAACCCTCAAATCGAAGCCCGATTAATTTCCAACTGAATTCTTCTAATTGTTGCTCGTTTTCTCCAATGTTCAGCTCGATTACTCAAATTGAAGCCCGACTCTTCAAATTTCAACGCGATTCCTCAAATTGCAGCTTGAATCTTCAATTTGCAAGTAAAGTCCAGTAATTTCCGCTTGTGTATTTCAAATCCGACCCGATTATTGAAATTCCAAATCGATTCTATGGCGAAAAGAGATCGAGCAAATACGAAAGGAACTCCAGCATACGGTATGTTTCATGTAAATTTTGCTTTAACACTACTTAAAGTCATTAATATGCTCGAATTTGCTTTAACACTGCTTGAAAATAAGGTTTTAATTTTTTTTTTTATTTTTTTATGTTGCCCATATGAGGATACGAAGTTTACATTGAAATTTTTCCATGGAGAGGAGATGATTGAAAGCTTGTCAAGGTATTTACAGAGGGGGTTTTGTAGATTATTTTGATGGTGTTGATGGGGACATGTTGGGTCTTATTGAAATGAATGATTTTGCCAAACAATTAGATTATGAGGAGCAAAATATTAGGTTTTGGCATCAATATGGTCATTCATTGTATAGGGGAGCAAAAATCTTGTCCAGTGATTCTGATGTGCTTGATATTATGAAGTTTATTCCTCTTAATAGAGAGGTTCTCATTTACATTGAACATTTAAACCATCCACAACCTATGCAGCCTTCTAGTTTGCCTTCTAGTTTACCTTCTACTTTGCATGAAGATGAAGAACTTGTTCTTGATTTTTCCTTTCTTGATGACATTAACACAGCAACACCACAAAATGAAGGACACCCTGATCCAATTGTAGAACATAATAGTGATGGTCATAGTGACAGTGATGATAGTGACATGTTAATTGATTCTGAGTATGACATGATGGAGGATGATAGGTTGTATGAGAAATATGTTGATCATGATGTTGAGTTTGTTGGCTTAGGTAAGAGTTCCCACCCTCTGAAAAACATGTTGGGAGATGAAGTTAATTCTAGATTAGAAGGGGACACATTAGAATCAGTCAATAGTAGTGATGAGCTTGAGAGTTTGGTTGGTTCTGATGAAGATGACTTGTGCATGCAAAAGTACCCCAAGTACAACCCTACCACAGATAGTAGGAAGTCAGCCCTTAAATTAGGACTGGTTTTTAGTACCAAAGCAGAGGCAAAGTCTGCCATTAAGACTTACTGCTTTAGGGCTAGGAAGTTAATTTTCTTTGATAGGAATGACAACAGAAGGCTTAGGGAAAGGTGCAAGACTGATGGTTGTGAATAGAAAGCATATGTTGTTCCAATGCAACATGGCAGTACTTGGCAAGTTAAGGTGTTCAATGATGAACACACTAACTGTGCTTGGAGATATAATAATTCTGGTATAAAGTCAACTTGGGTAGGTAAACATTTTATGAAAGAAGTAAAAAAAAATCCTAAGATACAAATAACAGGGTTTAGGGAACATGTGTGTTCTAAATTGAAGGCAAACATCTCCAAACATCAGGCTTATAGGGCCAGAATTGCTGCCAAAAGGCTTCTTGAGGGTGATGTGAAAGAACAGTATAGTAAGTTGAGGGATTATTGTGCTGAGTTACTGAGGTCTCCTGGGTCAACTGTGGTCCTCAAATTAATTGAAAATGAGGGTGTGGTCAATCAGTTTCATAAGTTTTATGTGTGCTTTAAAGCTTGTAAGGAGGGTTTCAAAGCTTGTAGAAAAGTGTTTGGGGTTGATGGGTGTTTTTTGAAGGGGTGCTATGGGGGTCAGTTGTTGACTGCTTGTGGGATTGATCCCAACAACAACATGTTTCCAATAGCATGGGCAGTTCTAGAAGCTGAGACCAAAGATTCATGGCTTTGGTTTTTATCCCTGTTGGGGGATGATATTGGCATAAGTGAGGCTGAGATGTGGACCTTCATGAGTGATAAACAGAAGGGACTAATACCAGCTTTTGATGATTTGTTCCCAGAGGCAGAAAATAGATTTTGTGTTCAGCACCTTCATAGCAACATGAAGAAGGATGGTTTTTTTAGGTTTGACAATAAAGAAGGAACTGTGGGCTGCTGCAAGATGTACTAGGGTGGAAGAGTTCAAAGCAAGAATGGATAAATTAAAGTCTGTTGATCCTAAGGCTTATGAGTGGCTAGTGAAGAAGCCTCCAAATCAGTGGTCAAGATCTCACTTTAGTTTAACACCTAAATGTGATATCTTGACCAATAACATGTGTGGGAGCTTTAATTCACTTATTCTGTCTGCTAGAGAAAAAAAAAACAAAAATACATAACCGTAATTCAATTCATGAAAAAAAAAATATGAATTAAGAAAATGATTCTAAATTTTATTAAACGTATTTGTTTGTATACAACATTCATGGTCTTCTTATCGTCGGAATCACCATCACCACATATCATTATCTTCAAACGTTTCTCATTCGTAACTCTAAGAAGAGCAGCGTACAACTGTCCATGACTGAAAACAGTGTTGTTCAAGACTAAGACAACGTGTGAGAGTCGGTCTTGACTCTTGGTGATAAAAAATTATCTGCTTGAAACTTGAACGGTACACTCAAACAAATAATGAATAATAAAATGTGTGCCGAATTTATTATAATTGTCAGCAAATGTAAACATTTGGATCAAAATTATCTATTGAACAAATAATTGTATTATAAACAATTGTTGAATTGAGCTGGATAACATATTTAAAAAAATATGGTGAATTGGGCTTAATTTTATTAAAAAAAATTATAAATGTGGCTTGAGCCGATATTCTCAATAAGGCTATTGGGTTCAACTTGAAATTATTTTTTTAGGCTTTACAAAATCATATCGGCGGATCACGCGTTTTTTTTTTCTCTGTAAAAAATATTCAAGATCTCATTTTTCTTATTAATTTTTGTCAATAATCATGCCATTTTTTTGTTTTTTCAGCGAGATATTTCAATCAAATTCTAAATTTTTTCGAAAAATAAAAAATTTCAAACAAAATCGAGATACAACATCAAAATTATTCCAATTTTATAGTCTCGTTTTACTAAATCATAGTAAAAAAGTGCAAATCGTCGATTACATAACATATCTATCAATATTTAGAATTTTTTTTGTTTTGATTTAAGGTTGTCGTCCCTATTTGGCTAAAATGATTCAATGAATCATAAGAAAATGTTTCAATCCGGCGATTATAGTATGAATCTATCAAGATCTGTAATCTTTGTTAAAAAATTATGATGGTTTATTTTTTCTATAAATATATATATGCAATAAATATATAAATATGCAATAATATGAATGATTAATTGTCGTGAAAAGTTGAATAATTTGATATCACATATATGGAAGTATAGCAAATACAAAATTTATTGCATCCTAAAGTATATTTAACATTTAAGTTAGTTTAGTATTTTTATAATTTTAAAAGCCGTAATAGATTTAGATAAAAGTCTGACTAGCATAGACTATTCCGAACTACCGAAAATGACAAGTAAAACTACGAAATATCATAAATTGACATAATGAATAAAGAAATCACTTATCATATACAAATAATAAATCTAATAAAATTTAAAATATATTAAATATTTACTAAATTGATAAATAAAATTATAAAAAATCATAATTGATATAGAGACGGATATTATCATCCAAAAAATAGTACTTATGGAGTTATTGCTTGACTTGATAA